TGACTCTTACATAGTCTCTGATAGTTATTGTTGACAGTTGTCAGCTAGCAAGGAACTTGGTGACTCTTTAACATAGTCTTTGATAGTTATTGTTGACACTTGTCAGCTAGCAAGAAACTTGGTGACTCTTAAATAGTCTTTGATAGTTATTGTTGACAGTTGTCAGCTAGCAAGGAACTTGGTGACTCTTACATAGTCTTTGATAGTTATTGTTGACAGTTGTCAGCTAGCAAGGAACTTGGTGACTCTTAAATAGTCTTTGATAGTTATTGTTGACAGCTGGATAGAAACCTGCCTACAGATTTGCTCTTGATGGCCAGTTTTTTTTGAGAATTTTCACCATGACAAAAGCCAAATTTCCGTATATTATATTCTGCAACGCCCCTGTGACCCTGTGCCACAACTGGTACATAATACAGCTTAACCTACGGATTTGTAGAAGGACAAAACCTAAGACATGCTTTAACATGTTTATTTTAACCGATATTTATTCTTCACTTGAATTTTGAATATCGATTAGATATCTTATAATTATTCAACTGTTCATTGAAAACTTACTTAGTTCTTGGAAACCCTCTTAGTCTGCCCTAAACATGACCTTCAACCGGGGTAGTCGTTTATGAATCCGGAGAGTATCGACACCCTTTCATAGTCATCATTGAAGGTGCATAACATAAGCAGTGGAGGAGGTGAGTATAGTATACACTTATATATCGCTTAGTTTTCTTTTCTTATGACCTACCCACCATTTAGTCAAAGCCGAGTTAAATATAGATAGGACAGACAACTCTATTGATTAAAAACTGGTTTTACCGGACATGCTATTTTAATACTTAAAAATCGAATGGAAATGTGCTGAAGGAAGGGAAAGGAATATGATAATGCAAGTTTTTAGTAAGAAGTGTGATGTGACTACCATAGCCCCCACTATTCTATAGCATATCTCCGGGGGAGAGGCCCCAACTCACGGGCCACTCGTCTAGTTGAGCTACTGGCAAAATGTCGACGTAAATGAGAAATATTTAGCATTCATGAAGTATTCCTTGGCACAGTGTCAACAAGATGAGTTGGGGCCCGTGGACTTGGGACCCCTTACCCAGATAATTCTTTATTTAAACATGCTCTTTAAAGATGGGAGACCGTAAAGATGGGAGACCCGTGGACTAGGTTCAACCAGCTCCTGTGGTAGTGGAGCCACTGCTTTGGGATTCCTACTTAAGGATTGCTCGAGTGAATGGAAAGCAAAACGACTATGCCTTAAAGAGTGTGTATTACTTTAAAGAGTGTGTATGCTTCAATTCACGTGGTATATTTTGAAATACATGTAGGTCTAGGCCTATCTATTATATGCTATAATAAATGTCAATATAGATGTAACGTTATATGGTGATAAAATACATGATATAGCCACATGCTCTAATAGTTTTTAATTCAATCTTCAATACACTTTTTTAAGAATTGAGGAGAAAATTGTGAACTGTGATTTTGAGACAAAGCGTCTCATTACCGCTAAAATAAAAACATTAACCCCTAGATTGAAAACCCTCGATTTAACAATTTTCACATTTTTGACAAATTTCTTTAAGACTTATTTAAGAAACGGGGCTTTGGATGCAGTTTAAATAAAGTTTACAACTTCTTACTTTCCGTTTGTATTATCAGGTTTGATCCAGTGAAAGTTAACCGAAAGTTAACAAAAGATGGAAGAATTATTAAAAAAAAAATTAAAAACGAGTAAATTGGAAAGTTTGGGCTCCTTCTCTGGAGGTCATGTTAATATTGCCCGAGCGTTTAACACAGATTATGGTAAAATATTCGTCAAAACCAATGAAAAACCACAGGTAAAGTAAGTTAAATTTTGACCACAGAAAACTGTCACTGTGAAAATATTCAGTCAAAAATTAGAAGCGATATTTCGTACGGATTAATGCAAGATCCAACAAACTTATCTTGATATAAATATTTATTAAGAGTATACCCAAACTTGTGTATTGCTAATCGTAGTTTTAAAGGCATGCGAGGCCTACCAAAAATTTTAAACAGGCCCTTAGCTAATGAGGCTAATGGGAGGGGGCGGAAAAAGTTTTGACAACCGACCAATTACTGCAACATACACCTTGCCCCTCCGGATATATTACTTGCATCTCTGGATATATTACTTGTCCCTCCAGATATATTACTTGCTTCAAGTCTGGTTACGGGCCTATTTCAAAGGTTTACGAGGTATAACTATGACTAGAAAAATAATTTTTGAATATTATAATCAGTCAAG